ATAAAAGATCATCATTGTTTGTATTGTTGGGTTCAAACATATAACAAAAGATCATCATTGTTTGTATTGTTGGGTTCAAGCATATTGTAACAAAAGATCATTGTTTGTATTGTTGGGTTCAAGCTTATTGTAATAAAAGATCATCATTGTTTTTCTATCCTTACTATTACTTTCCTGAACAGCATTGGTTAGGATATGCTAATATATATTTATATATTTTCTTTTTATTTATATTTTTATTATATGGACTATTTTTGCATTGTTAGCTTGATAAATGGATCTAGGATTAACCTAAATCTTCTGAGCTGAATGAACATCATGAAATATTATTGGCTGAAAATGATGAAACAATGCATGGTTATTATTATAAGTAGGAACAGTGTATTAGATTAACTATAGTCATTATTGGGTTAATTTTTAGTTCTATTCCAGGTGGGTAGCTCATTTTGAACAGAAGTTAATATTAGTTACATCTTAATGTTGTAAATAGTTGAGGTATTATTATTATCTGTAAATACCAGTTTGATTTTAGATAGATTTACTCTTTCTTATAACAGTTATTAGGTTTAATTTTGGAATCACTCGTGAAGCACATAAGTGACCGCAGTATACCTTAATTTTCACCAACTAGTCAAAATTCACATACAAGTATGGCTTAGAAACTAAAGCTGGAAAACTGCCTCAGTTCACACAAAGAAAGTTATGGCTTAGAAACTCAAGCTGCAAAACTGGTTCAATTCACACAAATGAAACTAAAGCTGAGAAACTGGTTCAGTTCACACATATGAAGCTTATGTTATATTATCCTTATTTAAACCACCTGGTGATGAAAAATGTTTGTTTTCAACTTTAGGCATTAATAAACAAGTAAATAAGTTAAAATTTATCATGAAGATGATGATTGATTCAATTTGTTATTGATAACATAGACATCTTGGATAGATGACCTGTCAACTGATAGGTCGTACATAATTCTGTATTATTGAAAAACAATTATAAGAATACTGATAGTTGCAGTTAAGTTGTTAGTTAGTAGAATTTTCCATTCAATTAATCGTTAGGCCCATTAATTAGTTACATTGAACAAATTGATTATTCTATCAAGACTTGGATAGTTCAAATAATTGGAAACACTAATTCTGATTAGTTAATTATTTTTTAGAGTCGTGACACTAATCGATTAAGCTGAACACTCTTTAATTAATCAAAATTATAATAACAATATTTGAATTAATTAAATAGTTGAAATAACCAAAACAGTAAACACTAATTTGGATTATTTTACATGACACTCATGAGAAATTGATTAATTAACTTAGCTCAACAAGAATTTTTAGGAAGCAATAACTTTAAAATGAATAACAAATGTATCAGGATTTTCATGAGATTTGTATTATTCTAATATTAAACTGTAGAGTGACCAATAAAGTGCCAAGGCAACCAATTTACTGTGTCTTATAAGGCTTCTTGCTAATGGATTTATTGGTCAAAGAATATTATTAAATTCATACTGTTAAGAAAAACTATTACTCTGTTGTTTCCCTATAGATAAACTTAAACCTAGATAACATACTATATCTGATAAACCTAGGTAACATACTATATCTGATAAACCCAGGTAACATATTGTATCCAATAAACCTAGATAACATATTGTATCCGATAAACCTAGGTAACATACTGTATCTGATAAACCTAGGTAACATACTGTATTTGATAAACCTAGGTAACATATTGTATCCGATAAACCTAGGTAACATATTGTATCCGATAAACACAAGCAACAAACACATTTTCACTATTACTTAAATACTAATCTCACTTAAACTTGCATAAGTATAACCATTGTATTATCTGGACAGGGTGCAGGAATTTTGGTAATAACAGCTTTCTGAGATTTCACCTTGGATACAATATGTTACCTAGGTTTATCGGATACAATATGTTACCTAGGTTTATTGGATACAATTTATCAGATACAGTATGTTACCTAGGTTTATCAGATACAGTATGTTACCTAGGTTTATTAGATACAGTATGTTACCTAGGTTTATCGGATACAATATGTTACTTAAGGTTATCAGATAT